AAGCAGCCCCTCCCCCCCCCCCCCCCACGCTCAGAGTACTGCTGGTGGTCATGATGCTACAGCTACGCGAGCCCCGCGCCACACTCTGGCCCTTCCCGTATCCTGATGCCACAGGTGACATTCTGGAGGCCATGATGGGCCTGTGCCTTCCGTGGCAGGAGGCCCACAAGGAGTTCCGCACCCAGTTCGCGGAGACGTGGGGTTTCAAGCTTACGGACCTTGCCACCCTCCACACCAGACTAGCTGAGGTCATACACCACACTAGCACCCTGGCCACATATGCCCATCACCACGAGGTTGCCGGCAAGCACAATTGTCCCAAGACGTGGGCAGCGATACAGACGCACAACTTCACCCAGGAGGCTCCCCTACGCGTGCTGGAGACTCTGGTCCGGCCAGCCGACGCCACTCAGCCAAGCAGGGGAGGGTGCTCCATTTGCAAGTTGCACACAGCCCTGGCGGGGTCAGAGATTGGACTGGGCGGCCCTGAAACCATGGCCGACCTCCAGTACATCGGAGGAGGGGCAGCATTCTCCAACCACCGACTCGACGAGGACATCCCTGCCTCCCCGGCCCCAGGGACCCCGCTGTTCCCCCCATTCGTGCGCGACGGGCGCCTCTGCAGGCAGCAGAAGGACGCCACCTGCAACTGCGACGGATGCACCAGTGTCGGGCTAAGTGGCACAGCAGGCACTTGGGAAGACGACTGCACGAGGGAGCTTCTAGCCCAGAACCGAGCGCAGACGTACGCGGAGGGCAAGAACTGCAGATGGCTCTGCCAGCAATGCTGGATCAGCTCGCTGGAGAAAAAAAGGATACTCCTCCCTGAACCCGACGCGACAGAGCGCAACCGCAGGAGGTCCATGCAGTGGTTACTACAGGAGCACAAGCGCAGACTGGACGAGAACCGCGCTCAGAAAAGGGCCAGGACACTCCCCTCCTTGGCCCGACTGCCGCTGGGGGTCAGAGTGACACCAGTCGCTGCTGCCCCAACCCTCAAGGAGCTCGTCCTACGTACGACTCGCCGTTACCGCCCAGCCAGCGCGGGTGCCGCACTCCCGCCACGCAAGCTCACCGACGGCAGGTTCGGTACTGAAGTGCACCTGACCAAGTGCTACTCAGCCACCTGTGACTTCTGTCCCCCCTTTTTCCCCCTTGCTTGAATGGCCGCCAGGCGCACCTGCATTGGGCTGTTTCATATGGCGCGCAGAATCGGACGCGGACTGCAACGCGCTGACAGGTCCCCCTCCGTGGGACGCGATGCCATCACTGTTGACCAAGAGGCAGTGGAATGCCAGCTGGGGCTGCAGGAGGTGCCTGGTTCACATCTGGGACATTGCCCCTAGCGCCCTTGACCGGATACTGGACCAATGCTCCAACGAGATATACCCAGATCCCCCCGCCAAGAGGGCAGCCACAAGCGAGACCTCAGAGGAATGGTTCATCTACGACATGTCGGCGCATCTTTCCCCAAACAGCCCAGTGCCAGCCGCAAGCTCCAACCCGCCCACGGCTACGGCCGAAGGCAGCGCAGAGCTCGCTCCGCCCCCGCAAGAAGGCACAGACGGAAGAGGTTCTCGCAGCCTTTCACTACCGGCTCTCCCACCACCTATTGCGCCCTTACTACCCACATACTCCACCCGCCGTCTCGGTGGGGAGCAGTCGAGGGGCCCCGTCCGCGAATTGGTCAAGTTCCTGATCGAGTGGAGCCACTCAGTCTACTCCCTCTGGGTGGCCCACACCCAGCGGTGGGGAAGGGAAGTCGTGGGTGAGGTGACAGACGAGTCGGGGTGGTCCCACGAGCACCTGGTGCAGTTCCTGCAGTCCATCTACGGGGGCGATATACCTAGGAACGGGCAACCCCCGCACATCCAGCGGGACGGGCGGAGGGCGGCTGCGGCCAACGTGGTCACGCACCTAGTGGAGAGCAGCTCGAAGTACCAGGAGGCATGGCGATGCTACGTTGACAAACTCGACAGCCAGAAAGGTCAGTGCCCTCAGCGGCAGCCACTGGATACGGTAACCACCTTTCTATCACAAACAAAGGACGACCTCACAGAGGGAACAATCAAGCTCCTAGCCAGCTCGCGGAAGGACGGAAAGACCTGCAGTGCTGAGGAGGAAGGATCCCCCACCGGTGTTTGGCTCCGACCCTGGGCGACCTCACCCGACCCCCCCCCGTCAAAGCTATCCCCCAGCCGCCTGCCGCGCCAGGACAGCCCGGCGGGGAGGGAGGGGAGGTTCCGCCCCCGCACAATTATGGAAGTGGCGGCGGCGACGAGGAGCTTGACTGGGACCCGTCAGAGTCAGAACGGCAGGCGCATGGAGTCCACCCAGACAGGAATGACTCTGAGGCCCAAGCCAGTCCAGCACGCCAAGTTGTCAAGGCCGACACCCCAGAGCGCAGCGACAGTGAGGCCTCCCACAGTCCGCCAATCCTGTGGGCCAGACCCCCACAGAGGGCCGAGTCCAAAGCCTGGTCGCCGTACGCCAGGGAATACGCGCGTACCTACCAGGCCGCAATGTGCGACGATAGGAGGCTGAACGACAGGAGGCTGAGGCTAGTTGAAAAAAAAGACAGAGCTCCGACCAACCCCAATTCCTGAGGACGCCTCACTCAGCCACACAGAACGCCCGCCACTGAGCCCCCCAGCCTCTTGGCAGCATCACAGCACAGGCCGAGGAGGCGAGCCACATAATTCATCCATCCCACCAGCGCGCCCTGATGACCTCATGCGCGGTCTCCCCATGTACCTGAGCTCCATCAGCGAAGCAGACACCAACAAGGAAGAGCCAGCACAAGACAAGATCAGCCGACTGCAGAGGACGTTGGGAGGCGCCTTCAACGGGGTCTGGCCCGCTTGGGTCCGTATGTCAGTCAGCAAGCACGGGGGCCCATGGGTCAGCATCAAGTCTGACCCCAAGAGGAACCCGCGAGCCCCGTTGGCCCAGGGCCGTCGCGCCAATTGTAAGATGGAGAAAGGAGGTGCAGGCTGGCCAGTGCCATTCTTTCACGCACCCTCCTCGTATGTCAGATCTCAGAGCTGCGTGGAGGTGCGTGCTCGAGGACGTGGGGAAGCAACTTAAACGGTGGGCTAGCGCCGCTGGCCCGATTGGTGCTCTTTTTCCCTCCGTGCGGCGTTTGAATGTGACGATGCCAGACTTCACAGCGTTGCGCGATGAGAAGGAGTCGACGTTTCTCTCACCTTCAACACACCCTCCCTCAAGGACTTTTTCCCGTCGCCAGGTCGTGCGTTTCTCGAAGATTCGGTCGCCGAGAAGTTGGAGGTCGGTTGGGGTCGCGCTTGTTTCGGCATCGTTCAGCAGTTGGCCAAGAATAAAGCGTACACGCCGCTGCAGCGTGGCACCATCCACAGCATGACCTGTGAGGAAGCGTGGGCTCCCGATCGTGCTTTGCGCCTGGGAGATCAGCCCCCCGACGACAAGCTCTTCTGTTCGAAAAGCGGGAGGGATAGGGCCATTCAATTCCAACGGTGTTGGGCATGTGAGGCTTGCACGAGGGAGCGGGATGGGCTTGTCACGGCCTCGGTCCTAGCCGAAGCTGGACGTGAATCGCCGCATGGTGATCGCATCCTTCTTCCCGCTGGGTTTCTGAGCAACCCGACTCCGATTGGCTCGGGCGCGATCGCCAGGTGCTTGGGACATCGGATCGGTTAGTAGGTTTCCTGGAGGCCAGAACGGGGGCATGCACGGAAACGTCTTTATCGACGGCCCTCGTTTCATTCACCCGATTGCAGATTTGTTCCGTGCGGGATGGGGAGCCGTCCGTGTACAGGAGGACGGCAATTTCCTAAGTTCGGCGCGCGGCCCAGCGCGCGCTCCTTTGATCCAGGCAGCGCCCGCTGCTGAATTTTCTGCGTTGGAGATGTCGTGTTTGCAGTCGGTCGATAGTTTCGAAGCTTCCTCATATTGTCAGGCGGTGGCGAAACATGTCTCCCTGCCGACATCGGAGCTATTACTTGTCCAACGGAAAGATTCAGGGATGTTGTTACATGTCAGTACAACGACGCATCTCTCTGAAATGTTCAGGGTCAAGGCTCACCTGGACGCTGACGAGGGCTGGGGGCTGGATCCAGCGGGGTGATTTGGAGGCGAGGTAATACCCTTGCCGACGCTGCAGCGCGAACTGGAGCTGAGACCCACCCCCAGCTTGCTCAGCAGGAGGGTGACACAGTGGCTCGTTTGGTTACTTTGTCCAAGGCTGCGTGCAAGCTCACGGCGATCATTATCCCGTTTTGGCCTAGGCTGGATTTGGAGGGGTGCCTAATCATCAGTCCTCCCCGTATCTCGACTGACCCCATGAAGGTTCCTGTCTCCCCCCACCAATGGGAGAAGTTCGACCAGTTTGGGAGATGCGTCAGTTGTTTTAAAGGCGGCCGTTCGGAGGCCGTTCGGATGCTCTAGTGCAGGAGGGGCCGACTTCGGGGAGGTCACCAGGCTTCAGCATTGTGACCTCAGCGCTCAATGCTCTGACTGCCTCCCGCTAGTCATGTGTTTACGTTGCGGTCTCTATATGCACCAGTGCACGTTGGTATGAGCTCGCTGTCCGCTCAGTGCTGTGGTAGGCCCTCCAGATTTTTGAGAAGCAGTCATCCTCGGAAGGCCCTGCCTGTGGATCTGAATGCTTTGAGTGATTTGCCGACCGCCAGCGGGGGGCCATCCAGCCTGGATGATGCGGATCCTGGCGACGCTCTTCTGCGCGTGCGTGCCCAGCTTCGCCTTGAGGAGAGTCGCGGAGCACAGCACGACGAGTGATCAGACGACTCCGACTGACACGGAGTTGTTGTTTACCCTCGCGGACTTCGCCCATGCGCATGGGTGCACGTGGGCGGCATTGTGTCGATGTCAGATAAATTCCCTCGTCGTCGTCGTCGCCGTCCTCCTCCTCCTCCTCCTCCTCCTCCTCCTCCTCCTGCTCACCCCGCCTCAGTCTTTCTCCTCGTCAGCCCCCCCTTTCCATGCTCATCTGGCCGAGCCAGGGTGCAGCCAGTCTGCGCCTGGGCGGCCGGCTTCGGCTCGGGCATCCACATGTGGGTGCACTCCCTCACCTACGCGCTGGAGCCCCGGGATCTCAGGAAGGCCTAGGATACACGTAGTTCGTTCCACTCGAGGCCCGTTCGCTCTGGGGGATTCCCTATTTGTCCCTCGCCGACTTTGTCTCTGTTCTGCTTTTGTCTCCTGACGTTCGTCAGTCTCCGGCGTCGCAGATGTTTTCCAGCGGGTTTCCGGATGTTTTCGGCGGTCGTCGGGGGGGCTCGGGCGTAGTCGCAGGTTTCCAGAAGTCTCTGGAGCCTGTCGGGAGCTTAGAACGGGGAAGACGGGGGAGGATGGGCGATGGGAGGGGGAAGAGGAGGGGAAGGGGAAGAGGGGGAGGATGGGCGATGGGAGGAAGAAGAGGACGGAAGGTGAGGAAAAATGAAGGAGACGAGATGGGGAGGCGGATCGGGGAATGAAAAGGGGTGGGGGACACAAAAGGAGCGCCATGGTGAATGCTCCTTTGATGCTTGACTCGCAGGGTGGCGATCGTGGGCTCCGTCGCGCGTGGCCCATGAGATGGGTGCCTCAAGCATCGGCTCGCTGATTTGTAGCCCTCGCGTGTGCGGGGACGGAAGTCGCCTCTGGGGCCTTTGGTCCCTCGTGACCCTGAGCCCCCCTCGTCCTTGGGCGTTGGCGGGCTCAGAAGTGGCTTTTCTACGGCCCGCGCCCTTGGCCCTATCGCTGTCCCCTCGTGTCGGATGGGGCCCAAGACTTGATCGAATGGCTCGTGGCTCGAAGCTCGAGGCCCAGTGCCCGCCGTGGCCCCCTCGTGGCCCCCATTGAGGTCGTGGGCCGATCCGGTGGCCCGCGGCCCGTGCACCCCTCCTGAAACCTCTCGTGTTCCTCGTGCGCGGGGTGGGCAGCAAGACATGAGTCGGTGGCTCGTGCCCCTCGTCAGGGTCCTCCTGCGGGTTGTGGCCCTCGGTGGCCTCGCGGCCCGTGGTGACGTTCGTGGGCCCTTCGGGTGCGGGGTCGGGCTCAGAGATCAGTTCGGCGGTTCGTGGTCCCCTCGTGGCCCCTCGTGTTCGGTCGACTGCTCAGGGCTCCTCTAGAGGTTCAAGGTTGTGCGCTGACGTTGGATTTGGTACATCTTGGCTCGTTGCCCATGGCAGGTTGTGCGCCAAGGTGGATTCGGCTTGTCCGTGGTCCGTGGCGTTTGTGCAGGTCCTTGGTTTGCATGTCAGCAATCGTGGGTTCGGTTCCGCATGGCCCACGGCCTGGTCTGGCGTCAGCTTTGCCCATGCGGGGGATGTTGCTGTAGGGGGCTTTGTCGTAGTTTGTGGGTCGTCGACTTCGGATTTGGTTGTTTGTGGATCGTGGTTCCGTGGTCTGTGCGTTCGTGGCCTCAGAAGCCCCCAAACACGTTCGCCATATTTGTTGGTTTCGTTCCGACGTCGTTGAATTGATCACCACCTATGCAGACGTAAGCCAGTTGATGTTTTGGCTTTCCCTGTAGTATGCAACCATGAGTGTATTGCGCCGAGTGTATTGCGCCATCCAGCTGCGCTGCCGCGAACACATGGCGCTCGACCGGCGGGGGGGGGGGGGGGGCGCTTTGGGAGGGGAAGCTGCGCGGGGGGGGGTGGGCTTGGGGGGTAACGCGTACCCGCTGTACTAGAGAACGGAGTTTGGCACCGACGGAAAGCCACATACTTCGTGGCTTGGCGAAAACCATTGACGCATGTTGGCCTCGATGCGCTGTGAAGCGCGCGTTGTTCTATAGGCAGCAACACTACTACGGCACCGACGCATGATCCCTAAGCGACGATTATGTGTAACCGACGGGGTGCAAGAATCGACGGGGCGAAGTCTATTGGGTTGAACATGTGGCGCTCAATAACGCTCAATCTATGGGATGCCTGTCCCACCGCGAGACCCACCGCGCATCCCTCAGCTCAGCTCATCTCTCACACACACACACACACCCACAACCCACTGCGCAGCCCGCAGCTCAAACTACTGCGCAACCCGCCGCGCAACCAGATAACGGCCGGAATCCGGTGCAGCTGAACAGTTCTTTACGCCGCGCAGCCCAACACGTAACCACCGCGTAACCCGGCCACGGCCAGAATTGGGCCAGAGCATGCAGACGTGCAAACACTGCTTGGAGACAAACAAGAGTCTGAGACACCAGGCGCGACACAGTGTGGTCATTTATACATTCTGTCTGCCCCTCCATCCACTCTGACCCCTCTTCTCTCAACCAGACGCATGACAGTCACAATTGTCCTGTGCACCTGGGGAGTCCAGCAGGGTGGCGTCCTTCTGAGACCCCAGCCAGGCTTCGCTCCGTTTGTTGCTGCACAACGACCGTCGCCATATTCCTGCGCCATTGAGGGTTCCAGCCCGGCTGCGTCCTCATGGACCCTGACGAGACCTCTCTCTGATGGGTGGTGCCAAACGCCCAGAATCGTTGCCACATTCTTCCCTGCGTCCATAGGACGTCCAGCCGAGTGGTATCCTACGCAGACTAAGTAGAGACCTCGCTCCGCTCTGTGGTGCCATACGTTCAAGCGTCGCTACTTTCATGTTCCCCTGGGGGGGTCCGGCCCAGGTGAGACGTCGCTCTCTTGGGTAGTGTCACAAGTACAAGTGGTGCCACCGCCGTGATCTCTTGGAGGGCAACGCAGGATTGAATCCTACGTGGGCCCAAATCAGACCCCTCTCCACTGGGCGTTGTCACCTCGCTCTTGCGCCCCCGCGGGTCCAACGGAGCGGTAATCCATCGACGATCCCTTGGGAGTTCCCATACTCACAAGCGTCACTGCTGTCCTGCGCCCTGAGGGTTTGCCGTGGGCGGGCGTCTTGCGCAGACCAAAATGAAATCTCGCTCCACTGGCGCTTCCTAGCGCGAGCCGTAGCCCTTGTTTCAGCGCCCATGCGGGCTCAACCATAGTAGCGTTTTGCGAGGGCCAGAAAAAGACGTCGCGCCTCTGTGATACCCCAGACTTGCAACAACGATCTTTGTTCTGCACCTCATGGAGGGGGTTCAGCGGAGTGGTGTCTTACCCATACCCCAACCACGCTATCTTCAGCTGGGTGCTGCCTATCGGGCAATCATCTCCGCTGTTCTGCGCACGTGGGGGTTCAGTTGAGCTGCGTCCTGCGCAGAGTTTAACTAGAACTCGCCCCCATGGGTGTTGAAAATCGCACAACTGTCGACGCTGCCCTGGAACAGTGATGATCAGTGGGGGTATGTCCTACGCGGACCCAAGCTAGATTCCGCTCCGTCTGGTGATGCAAGCATGCGTGCAAGTGTCACGATGTTCCTGGGTTCCGAGGTGTGGGGGTCTAGCTGAGTGGCGTTCTACCTGGTCTCAAGATTTAAAGTTGTCACCTTTGTGTTGTGCCCCTGGGATCATCGGCTTCGGGCCTTCTCCAGCCCAGCGGGTTGCATCTTACGGCGGCCCAGGCGAGACCTCGCCTCCTTCGTTGTTCTCAAGCTGCAGAACGGGTTCTCCTTCCCTCCGCCCTTGCGCGGTCCAGCGGGCAAACGAGAGTCCAGCGGACAGGTGTCCTACGCGAACCCAATCTACGCTTTGTTCCGCTGGTTTGTCCCTAATGTGGGAATGTCTTTCCTGGGTGCCCCGAGGTGCCCCGAGCTCACACAAGCCCCCCACACACACACACACACACACACACACACACACACACACACACACACACACACACACACACACACACACACACACACACACACACACACACACACACACACACACACACACACTTCACTTGCATTTGTATATCACGTCCAGCTTCTGGCGATAACACATGCAAGCCTAATATACTGCAGCTTCGAGTTGTTCTTGCAGGTCCCAGCGTGTCTCTAGGTGGTCGTTTGAAAAGCCACGGCCCCTCCCAATCACCTGATGGATAAGCCCAAGACAGCTCTGGCATGCCAATTTTCTGCCCTGAATTTCAGAGGCCAAGAGGGCTCACCACTGCCAAGCGAAGCTTGAGGAAAATATGCTTCCCAGCAACAGCCCGCAACACGTCGAGGCGAATTGTTCTGTGCCTTGGGCGCCAGCCGAACCCCGAGGCCAGCAGGCTCGAAGAATAACAACACCGATTTGGACGATCATGGGTCATCATGGGGAAAGCAGGGCGAGAGGGCAAGGCACATGCGTGACCAGATCAAACACTCGTGACGGCCAATCCATGGACACGGACCAGAACTGACATCGTTGAAGCTATTCACAACAGGTCTGGGCAGGATCGAGTACGGACACATCTAGCAAACAAACAGGTACGCGCGCAACACATGTTGAGGCGTTTTTTATCAACCAGTTTTCGGGCGACCCACCCGCCGGTGGGTCGCCTGTGCGGTGCGCGCTGCACAGCAGACGCACGTGGAGCACGAATGCCCAAATTCATGCTGAGGCCAAGAATGCCAGCGAAACAAATGGTTTTCTCAATCTTACCAGCTCTGCCCTGCCGCAGGGCAAGGCTGGCGCCAGCATTTTCTCGGCACCAGTGAGGATGTGCATGGAGTGGTCCCTGAGCGCGGTCTCGATCCACTCCATGTCGCAGGGCGTGACAGCTGCAACACTTTGGCGATCTTTTAGGGTGCGCATGGGGTGGTCCCTGAGCGCAGTTCCTATCCACGCCACGGTCGCAGGGCGTGGCAGACGTGGCCTGCCGCCTCGAAGGCGTGCGCTGGAATCTGCCCCGAACGCGGAGCGCCAGGGCGGTCGCGGGGACGCCCCCGACGGTCCGGTTTGCCCCGCCTCCTTTTTTTTGTTTGCCACATGCGCATTGCATCGCTGGGAATAGTTGTTGCATTGCCCACCTCAGGCTTTTTTAAACGAAAAAAGAGAATGACAATTTACAGATGCAGCATGCCAACCTTCACCCCGACATCACCATGTCCAATTACGCCCGCGAGCTGCTGCTCCAAGGGAAGCTTGAGGAATAGTGGTTTCTCAACAGCCAATTGCAAAATTGTCAGACTGTTTTGTTCTGCCGCGCGCGTTGGGCGTTTCGAACGCCGACTTCGCCCCGAGACGTTGATGGGTCGTTCATTCCCTGTGCTTTGGGGGCCCTGTGGTGCGAACGTGTCGTATGCTTGTCATGTGCTGGGCGCTTGCCTGTTCACCACGGGGTGCGTCAGGAGCGGAGCCATATGTGTGTCCACTGGGCTGTGGTGCGTCCTGCCCCCTACCAGTCTCTTTATTCCTACCCTTGTCGCCTTCCTCCTCATCCTATTGGTCCTTCCTCATTTCCGTCGTCCTCCCATTCCTCCCCGTCTCCATCCTCCTCCCGTTTTTTTCCGCCTGCGTTTCCTCTTCTTCTTCCCGTGCCATGTATGTATCGACGTTTGTCGTTCTTCTCCTCTTCATCATTGTCTTCCCCGGCCTCAGTTCTGCCTGTTTCTACTCCTCATCCCTCCTCCGTCCTTCGTCTTCCCCTCGTCCTCTGTTGCCAGTGCCTCTTCTTTATTATCCCACCTCCTTCCCAGGAGCGGGGCCACGTGTGGGTACCCACTGGGCCGTGGTCGTACGTGGACGAGCAGCGGTGTCCCGACGTCGGAGGCGTGCCAGCTGGCCAGAGCTGCTATTTCAAGGAGGTGACCCGCTGCCAGGCCACGACGCAGGCACTACCCAAGGTGCGCTTCGGTCGTGTGCTAATTGCTCCTCCCCCTTGTGCCTGAGGAGCAACGGGGGGGACGAGGACGCAGAGAAGGCCCCCATCGTCAGAGCAATCCCAACCCCGACCGAGAGGGCCAGCTGGTTCTCCCAGCGTACCCCCCCTGGGGGGTGCGTCGGCCAGCGGGGCCCAGCTTTCCCTGGGGGGGTTGGGATGGCTTGACTTGTCCAGTCGGCTTGAGGATATGCGTGCCTTGGAACATCTGTTTAGTTGTCGAGCTGCCCGCGGCAAAACCCCACCACCGTGCCTGTGCAACAGCGCAGCAGGAACGAGCCCGAGTATAGGAATTAGCGCAGCTCTGACAACTGGTGTGAACTTGCACGGGTCGGGAACTCGACTTCGTCTTCGTCCGCACGGTGGGACAGATTTCGAGTTCACGCCCCGCGGCAGTTCGCAAGCTGGTTTGAACTGAGTCGGGTCGTGGATTCGACCTCATTCTTGCCCGCGTGATAGAAAGGAGGAGGACGAGGAGGACAAGTGTAAACCCAAGACGCATCTTTGATGTTGCAATGAACCCTCCCTGGAAGTTCCCTCTTCATATGTTCTACAAGAACTTATGTTCAAACTGGAAACCGACTGGATCTCCTCAAACGTGTCAACACTTTCCTCCTGGGTGTTCAACGCAGAGCCGCGGATCAACGTGATTGTTGCGCCGTGGTAATCTTAAATCGCGCCAGAACGCAATCTCTGGGACATCAGCACATTGAACTAGCGTAGCTGTTGCGCCCTGCCAGCCCTGACCCGGCGATAACCGTAGTTTGAAAGCGACCCGCCCTCCATCCGTGAAGGTGTCGCAAATGTCAAGCTTCAGGGTCATACATGGTGGGCAAATCTCAAGCGAAGCGCCCAGCCCGCCCTACCGACACGTCTGGGGGTGCGACAGGGAGGAGTTATGTAAAAAGGAAGAGGGATGGAACAGAGGGAGAAAATAAAGACCAGGAGGAGAAGGCCTCTTAGTGGCTCTCTTGGGCCCTCCTGGGAACCTCCGGAGGTTCTCTTGAGGGGCTCTTGGGCGACTTTTGGGCCCCTTGGGCCGTCTTACGGGGCCCCTGGCCCATCTGACGCCTTCGGGGACCATCTTGGGGGCCTCCCTGGGCCGTTGTGGTGCCCTCTTGGCGCGCTTTAGCACCGTCTTCGGGCCCTCTTGGGAGGCTCGTGGGCGATCTTGAGGTCCTCGTGGGCCGATTGGGCCGCTTGGGCTGCCTCGGAGCTATGTTGGAGTCCTTTGGGGCCGTCTTGGCGGTCGGACACCCAGGCAGGTGAGAACCTCGAACTCCTTCAAAACCAACTAGAAACTCAATGGTGTTTGCTTCCTCGGGCTCTCCTGCAGGGCGTCTTAGAGACCTCTTGGGCCGTAGTGGGATCCTCATGAGCCACCTTGAGGCCGTTTGGGAGCCTCTTCTAAAGTCTTGGGCCATCTTGGGACCGTCTGGTGTTATCTTTTCTGCCTTGGAAGCCGTCGTGGAGGCCGCCTGGGCCGCATAGAGGCCGAACAAAGCATCGGACAGCACATTCAGGGAGGACTGCTAGTTCACCACGCATGGGAAGAGGGACACACGGCAAAAAACTCCCAGACGACAGACGAGTGTTCTAACAAGCCCATGTCGTACAGGCACGGGGACGCAGTCGTAATATGAGTGCATGTATGTATGAATATGTTATGCATGCATCGAATCATATGGGAATAGTGGCATATGTACATGGACATGTGGTTGTGCATATGTATATATACATATACATATGTATGTATACAGATATGTCTGAGTGTATGTCTGCATGCATACATGCATGCATTCGCCTGTGGACGTATGTGTGCGTGCATGCATGTATGCATGCACACTTGTGTGCATGTATGTTTGTATGGATGTATGTATGCATTCAGGTGTGCATGTATGCATGCACGTGTGTATGTATATACGCATGTATGTATGTATGTATGTATCGATGCACGTATACATGATATTAGTTGTGTACGTGCGCATGCATGCATGTACGTATGCGTGTGTGGGTGCATGTGTGTATGCATACATGCATGTATGCATGTATGTATGTATGCATGTCTGTATGTATGGGTGTATGAATGTGTGTTTGTTTTTGTGTATGGATGTATGGTTTCACTTACGTAGTCATCTAGATTTGCATGTATTTCTGCAGGTGCGCATGTATGACAGAGCGCGTTCCTTGGTTGCTTGGGAGGGGGGTGAAACCGGACCTCCCCCCCCCCTGGATTGGGGGGGGGGGTTCGAACCCCCCCCCGCCCCCCCCTTACCTTCCTCCCCTGCTGCCCCTCCTCTCCGCGGGCCGGCGCTTGCGTCGGCGGCGGCTGGCGGCGGCGGCGGGGACGACGATTTCTTTTTCTGGGCTGGCGCCGGCGCCTGCGGCGGAGGGCGGCGGCGGCGGGGATCGTCGACGAGGACGACAGTGGTGGTGGTGGTGGTGGGTTGTGGTGGTGGTGGCGGTGGTGGTGATTGTGGTGGTGGTGGTGTGGTGGTTTGTTGTGGTGGTGGTTGTTGTGGTGGTGCGACGTGGTGGTGGTGGTGGTTTTGTGGTGGTGTGGTGGTGGTTTGTGGTGGTGGTTTGTGGTGATGGTGGTGTGGGTTGTGGTGGTGGTGGTGGTGGTGTGTTGTGGTGGTGGCGGTGGTTTGTGGAGGTGGTGCTTGTGGTGGTGGTGGCGGTGGTGGTTGCGATGTGGTTGTTTGTGGTGGTGGCGGTGGGTTGTGCTGCTACTAGTGGTGTTGGTGGTGGCGGTGGTGGTGGTGTGGTAGATTGTGGTAGTGGTGGTCGTTGTGGTGGGTTTTTGTGGTGAAGTGCTGGTGAGTTGTGGAAGAGATGGTTGTGGTGGTGGTGGTGGTGGTTTGTGGTGGTGGTGGTGGTGGTGGGTTGCGGTGGTGGCAGTGGTTTGTGGACGTGGTGCTAGTGGTGGCGGTGGCGGTGGTCGTGGTGGTGGCGGTGGTTTGGTGGTTTGTGGTGGTGGCGGTGGGTTGTGCTGCTAGTAGTGGCGGTGGTTGTGGCGGTGGTGGTGGTGGTGTGGTAGATTGTGGTGCTGGTAGTGGTAGTGGTGGTGGGTTTTTGTGGTGGTGGTGATGGTGAGTTGTGGTGGTGGTTGTGGTGGTGGTGGTGGCTGTGGTGGTGGTGGTTGTGTGGTGGGTTGGTAGTGGTGGTGGTGGTGGTGAGTTGAGGCGGTGGTGGTAGTGGTGGTAGTGGTGGCGGTGGTGGTAGTGGTGGTAATCGTCGCTGCGTCTCCGCCGTCGCCGGCGCCAGCGCCGGCGCTGCTGGCCGCCGCTAGCGCCGGCGCCGGCGCCAGGGGGGGGGGTTGAACCCCCTACCCCCCCCTTGGGCTGCCTCTGGTCATCGTCGCTGCGTCCCCGCCGTCGGCGCTGCTGGCGGCCGCCAGCGCCGGCACCGGCGCGGGGGGGGGTTTGAACCCCCCTCCCCTTTTGGAGAGGGGGGGAGGAGGTTTCGGGGGGGAGGTTGGGGGGGAGGGGAGTCCCCTTGGTTTTGATCGATTGCGCCGAGTGTTGGGGGGGGCCCACCCCCCGATTCGAAACGCGCCGCCGAATGTTCCCAAGGCGAGCGCCCGTGAAACGCGTTCTCTCGTATGTATGCATGCATGCATGTATGTGTGTCTGGCTTTATGTGTGTATGCCTGCCTGTATGCGTGTATGTATACGTGTATGCATGTATGTGTATGTACGCATGTTTGTAGGTGTGTGTGTGTGCTGTAGTGTTTGTTTATGATTGTTTGTTTGTATGTATGGATGTATGCGTGGATGTATGTATGCACGTGTGTTGCATGTTTGTATGTTTGTATGTGCGTATGTGTGTTTGGTTGTATTTATGTGTGTATGTCTGCATGGGTGTATGGCTGTGTGCATGTATGTCTGAATGTATGCATGCACGCGTGTATGTGTGTATGTATGTTCGTGTTTGTATGTAGGTATGTATGTGTGTCGATTGTTTGTGTGCATATATGTTCGAGTGGTTTTGAGTGTACGTTTGTGTGTATGTATGCTTGTGTGTATGTATGGTTGTGTGCATGTATGTATGCATGTATAGGTGTATGTCGGGTTGGTTGTACGTACGTGCGCATGTTTGTATACAGTGTGTGAGTTGGCTGGTTGTATGTGTGTCGTATGTGTGTGCATGTACGGATGTGTGCATGTGTGTATAGGTGTATGCATGCATGCATGTGTATATGTATGCATGCATGCATGCATGCATGCATGTATGCATGCATGTATAAGGACATGTATCCGAATACACAGTCCCACACATGTTGACACGCGTGTATGTAAGTATGCATGTGTTTGTGTGTGTATGTATGCATGTGTGTATGTATGTGTGTATGTCCGTATGTACGGATGTATGCATGCATGTATGCATGGATGTATATGTTTGCGTATGTACGTAGATGTACCTGAAACCTATATTGGTATTCGTTTGCGTGTATGCACATATTTCAGGGAGCGAGGCCCCGGGCTCCGACCCAGGGACCTCAAACCTCCATGGCAGTACCCGAGCTCTGCGGGGAGGCGCAGCGCTCGCTGGGAAGGTCCTGGGCTAGGGGGAGCGCCCCCGGGATCGCCTGGGAGGGTTTCGAGAGTCCGAAAACGTTTCAAAATAACAGCGATAGCTCCCAGATGGCTCAAAACGGCGCTCAGAGCGTCGAAGAGGTTCCCCGGCATCCTCGTGAGGGCCTCAGCTGTGTGTTCCAGTGTCCCACATCCTAGATTGTTTTTTTGTTTAGTGTCACGCCTCCGCCTCCTCACCTCCCGCCTCCTCTTCCTCTCACTCACATTCAGACCCACTCACACCCATACACACTCAGACTCACGCGTGCTCAGACCCACTCGTACTCAGACGTTAATTATCAGACTCACTCATACCCAAACTACCTCATACCAAGACTCACCCAAGCTCCGAGATGCCTGCTCAGTTTCTTCATACTAAAATCCACTCGTACCCAGATTCGCTCATACTAAGTTCAATTCTATTCAGAAGCACGCGAACTCACGTCCACTCTAACTCAGAATCACCAGTACCCAGACTCACTCAGTTCCATCTTCACCCACACTTTGACGCACCCATGCTCCAACGCACTCACGCCCCTGGCCCGTCAGACTTGCTCACACTCAAACTCACTCATAGTCAGACTCACTCAGACTTGGGTGTTCGCAGACACGCTCATGCATTCACAGCGTCAGTCATGCTCATGAACACCGCGATGTAGCATGCATGCCACTCGGGCAACCCAACTAGGAGACGGAAGGGTGCTTATCAGGGGCCCGTGCGCGCCCGATTTGCAGGGACGTCGAGGGCATAGCCCTATGATCACCGCGTTGCAACAGGCATAGCGCGCGGGTACCCCAAGAGGGAACCGCCAGGTGGAATATCACGGGCCCGTTCGCGCCCAGATTGTGGGGATGTCTCGAGCGACGCGCCTTTTCGCGGCTTTGGGCGCTTCTTATTGCCAGTGCTTTGTGATCACCAGGATGTAGCAGGTATTGCAGTTGGGCGACCTAAAAGGGAGCCGCCAGGAGGTATTGCACGGGCCCGTTCGCCTCAAGGTTTTGGGGATGTCTAAAGCGAATTGCCTGTTCGCTGCTGTGGACGCTGTGGACGCCTGTCTTCTCAGAGAGCCCAAAGATTACCGCGATCTAGCAGGCATGGCATTTGGACCACCATCCAAGGGGGTCCGTCAGGGGGTATATCACGGGCCCGTTCGACTCAAGGTTGCGGGGACGTCTCGAGCGAAGCGTACAGTCGTTGTTGTGGGCGCGTCTCATTTTCAGAGTCGTATGGTCACCGCGATGTAGCAGGCATCCCATTGGGGCACGTCCAGGGCCTTCCTCAATAGTTCTCATCATGTTCGAAATTGGTGACTCTCATGGACCTGGGGGCACCCGTGTGTGGTTTTGGTGACCACCATGCCCCGACGAATGAAAAAAGAATAGATAGCAATCTGCGAGGCGACCGCGAGGACGCGGATATGGATTCTTTTGCCGCTCGTGAGAACCGTATCGTTTGGGACCTTCTTGTGGAACCTCATCGGCGCGGCCCTGTTGGTGGGACCCTATTGGCACGGATTGGGGAAAATGAGGGTTGGTCGTGACGCCGCGCACTGCCGAACACGACCGGGGACAATCGGACATCCCGATTCGGTGACCGAGGCCCATCCTTTTGAGAACAAAGAAGACAGAGTCCCTAGGGCCGCAAATCGTGACATGATCGCAGCGGGTTGCCGCTGTCAGATAGTCATTCGGTGCTCCCTGGGGTGGATGCCACTTTTAGACCCCCATCTTCACGGGCTCTGCGTTGTCCTCCTCCGGCTCATCATCCTTTTTCACGCTCTCTTCCCCGCGCGTTGTGATGTCAAGCTTGGGAGGTGCAGGCTTGTCTCAGGAAAGCTAGAAAACAAGGAAGAGCCACTCAGTGCACGCTTTTTTTGCGGCGTCAGCTCGATGTGACAGCAAGGGGCGCCATGTCTCATGTCACGTGGCTCACCCATCCCTCTTTCCACGCCCGATGTATTTCTTCCTTCTCCCTCCCTCACGGTGTGCGCCCAGTGGTACAATCACCACAACGCCTCTACCATCGTCATCAACGTCGCCCGACAGCTCAACGTGACGCGCGAGTGGGTCTGGGGGCACTTGACGTCGTACATGATGCAGATGCAGCCGGACGTGCAGGAGGCCGTCGACAGGAGGATCCCCAGGAAGTTGCTTGCAGGCCCCTCTGCGGCCATCCAGATACGCGTGGTCAGCGCGGCGACTGGCCAGGACGGGATGCGGGTGAATCTCGGGGTGGCCTCGTACCTGAAGAAACTCGAGAGCAAGTTCTCTGAGATGCAGGCGCCACGAGACTCGTTACGCCCACTGGCACGCCCACCCCGCTCCCTCCCTCCCTCTCTTCTCCACTGCCTCCCCCTTCCATCTCCCTCTCCAACGCCTCCTGGTCGTCCTCCTCCTCCACTCCCGCCCGCTCGGCGGGAGGACGGATGACAGAGGAGGAGCAGGAGGTGGAGGAGGAGGAGGACGACGAGGAGGGCGAGGAGGAGGAGGGAGGTTCTTGGAGTTTGACTGGCGGGTGTGCAGCGAGGGCCGCCCAGGTGCGCCCGAAGATGATCTACGTGATGTCGGACGACCCCTCGCTCACAGGTCCTCCCTCTCCTCCTCCTCCTTCTCCTCGTCGCCCCTCTCCACCACAATTCGCCCTCCCCGTTCTCCTCCTCCTGTGAGTTGTGCGTGAATGATCTTCGCACGCTCGGTAGTTTCGGACGGGCGGGGCAGGGTAGACAGGAACGAAGGTGCAGCCCTGCCGCGCCCGCACTAAGTTGTTCGGCTCAAGGCCGCATGAGGCCCGAGGTGGGTGTCGGATTCCTAGCCGTCGGGATTGTTCGGGAGCTAGCTGCTTCCCTGGCTGCTCGCACTCTAAAGGGGTGCCCCGACTGCTCTTGCGATTGTCCGACGCCGCCAGAGTGTCCTGGCTGCCCCGCCTGTGTGTGCCCAGGGGCTCCAGATCCAGCGCGGCCTGTGTGCGCGGTGCCCGTTGAGTTCTTCAACAAGTCTTACGTCGTTATGTCCGCGGACGCCGCGAACTCCTACTGGCGGGTGGGTCTCAGCGGAGCCTTATTCTGTGCGGAGTCTTGGCTACTCGCAGTTGCTGTCCGAAGCGGGCCGGAAGACGAGGTCGAGTCGAGAAGTGATGGCGGCTGTGAATGAAGAGGTTATTGGTGCGTACGCCATGGTGTGGTACGAAGGTGATACTTCGATGTGTATGCTGAGGAGCACAGCACTACGGGTGATCGTGGGACTACCAGACTTGTTTTGCTGCGTGGACGTACGGTTGGTCGTGCTGCTTCCCGTCCGCTGCACAGGTTCAGCGAGACAGTGTCAGCGGAGATGTTCAGGGAGTTGCGTCAGGAGGCCAGGGACTATATCGCCGAAGAGGGCTTCTGGTTGGGGTGCTGCTGGTACTTGTAGTGGGGGTGGTGCTGCTGGTCGTAGTGGTGGTGCTGCTGATCGCCGTCGCGGTGGTGTCGCTGCTTGCAGTCCTGGCCGCTGTCGCGGTGCTGCTGGTCGCGGTCGTGGTGGCGCTTCTGGTCGGAGTCGTGGTGGCGTTGCTGGCGGTGGCGCTGCTGGGCGCCGTCGTGGCAGTGCCGTTGTTTGCTGTCGTCGGGGTGCTTCTGGTCGCAGTCGCGGTGGCGTTGCTGGTCGCTCTCGTGGTGGTGCTGCTGGTCGGGGTGCTGCTGGTACATGTACGTAGTGGTGGAGGTGCTGCTGGTTGTAGTCATCGTGTTGCTGGTCGCAGTCGCGGCGGTGGTGCTGCTGTTTGCAGTCGTGGCCGCTGTCGTGGTGATGGTGGTGGTGCTGGTGCTGGTGCTGGTGCTGGTGCTGGTGCTGGTGCTGTTGCTGCTGTTGGGCGCAGTCGTGGTGCCCCTGGTCGCCGTCGCAGTGGTGCTGCTCACCGCGGTCGTGGTGGCGCTGCTGGACTTTGGTGGCTACAGTGCGGAGGCTCCCGGCAGTGACCGTCCGATCCTATACCTCATTCTGATCCAAGCAGTTATGATGGACCCCGTGGCACCGATCGTAGCCGCAGCGACATCGCTGCAGCTCGCAGACAGCAGCAATATGAACCGCCTCTCCGCCGCTCTGGTCGCCTTCCTCGTGGCGAGCGGGATCGCGATCGTGACCGCCCTCGAGGAGACCGCGATCGACGTCGAGAACCCGCGCGGTCTGACCAAGATGGTCTTCGTCACTCTGGTCGACCTGGCACTCGCCGTCGCGAGCCTGGCGCAGGCACGAGCAGCGGCACTGGTGATGCGGCTGCCATCTTTGCCGCTTTATCACCTGCCGAGCGGGGGCAGCGTGCCCGCGATGCTGAAATGGCACCGACTCTTCCTGGCGCCGAAGCTCGCGACGCTCCTCATGCTGGCGGCCATGCTGTCCCTGCTACTCCTGCGGCAGGTCGCGAGGCCGCGGATCCATTGCAGGCGCAGGACCCGCGGCGAAACGCGCGCGTTGATGACGGCCTTGGGCGTCGCCTTCGCGAAGCAGCTCAGGCGGGCATCGACGCTGCGCGTGCTGCCGCCGCTGCTGCTGCAGCCAGCGCTGCCGCCAACGCGGCTGCCACTCAACTGCCACCCATCGCTGGCGAGCTGCGCGCGTCATTCCTCGCAGAGCAGGCGCGGACGCATCGGCGCCTGGGTATTCAAGCTCGCGAGGTTCAAAGACTCCGTCAACGGCAGGATCGCGCCGCCGCTGACCAAGCTGCCACGCGGACAGCGGTTGAGGACCTCAGGCGGCAGCTGGCAATGGCAGGGGCGCAGCTCCCCTCCGATGCGGATAACTTGGCGACGTGGGACCGCGCGGTGGACCCCCACGTCTTCTCCGTGGGCGCGGTTGCCCCTGCTGCTCCTGGCGCTGTTCGCGATGCACTCGCTCCCGGGCTGGCCGACGCGAAGCTGCTGCCCGAGCAGGTGGACCTCGTCGGTGACGTCGTTGCAAGACGGTTCACCCTGCGCGTTTTGGGCAGCAAACCTGAGGCCGGTACCCGCGCCACCGCTCTGGTCAGGAACCTGCGCGCCTCTGCTGGATGACGCACGCGCTCCAGGTCTCCTCGACCGAAGGAGCCATGGTCGCCATGTACGTCTCGACTGACAAGAGCCCCAAGATGGTTCGTGGCGAGGTGCAATCTAAGCGGACGTCGAAGCTACTGGGAGAGAAATACCCTGCACTCACGTAGCGGTGTCGGCGCGCCCAGTGCCAGGTGCTGGCCAACAGCGCGCCGCGCTGCCAGCTCGAGCCTCAGGGGCAAGGCGAGCCGACGCGCATCAAGTGGAACAACGATGCGACAGCGCAGTTCAAACATGGCACGACGATCGAGGAGGCCTTCAACGCCGCCTTCTCGGCCGCCGAGGTTCAGTGGTCTGGGCGACATGGGCTGGGCTCCGCGGGGGCAATTTCGCCGAGACGCTGAGCACGGTCTACGCTTGATATGCTGGAATGCTCGGAGCCTCCTTTGTCTCGACCCGAAGAAGCGCGATGCCGAGCTGCGCACCTTGACTGAGTATATGCGGTAGCGCTTCCTCATTGCCCTTCAAGAGGCCCGTGGAGATCCAGGCAGGCTGCGACGGCTCGTCGATGGCACGCCCTACACTTACGAGTGCTTCATGTCCGCGACTGGTGCATCTGCTGGTCGCGCGGCGTTTCCTGTTCCGCGTCGGCCGTCTCATCAGCCGTTCCTGAGCACCTGAAAAGAGCGTGCGTTTTGCACTCGATCGTCCCAGGCCGTGCCGCAGCGCTGCATGTCTCGCCCCCTGCGCACGAGCAGCCCATGTGTAATTTGAATGTGCGCAATCATCTTTCTGCTCTCGACGTGCACGAAATCGAGCGTTTCTGGTCTCAGCAAGTCGCGTTTGCAGCACGGCGTGAACGTACTTTTAAGTTTGCCGCTCTCGGTGACTTTAACATCCCTGGGTCTCCTCCTCGCTCCTTCCGTTCTCCGCTGGCCCCGCACTCGGCCCCTGCTCCGATTCTTCCAGTTATCGACAATCGAGGCCAGCACATGCAAGCTCGGTGGCGTCGCATGTTTGCCTCCATCACTGAGATCACGAATGCTTTGCCCACTCTGTATGATTCCCATCGGCTGCAAGTGACGTGCATTGATAGGGTTTTCATTTCTGGGTGCCCGTCGCAGCTGATGCTGGTCGATGCCGCGTCGCAGGTTGCGCACGCATGCACGCGTATATCCGATCGTGGTCTTTCTGATCATGCTGCGTTCATGCTTGGGCTCTCTCAGTCCACCGCTCGACCCCCGCAGGGGCGTGCCATCCCTCCCTATCTTTTTCGCGCTGCGGAGTTTCAGCGGGTTTTTGCCAGCATGCTCTCGTGCACAGATTTTGAGCAGCTTGATGCGATCGCGGCGTGGTAGGGAGTGACGGATGTCATGTATGAAGCTGCTGCCGTCACCCGCGACAAGCACCAGGGCCCCGAGTATGTGCACAACGCACATCCTGAATCGCCGAGCGCACGTATGTATCTGTTTCGGCCCATGGCTCGTGCTCTCTGGAGGAACGATGTACGCGCCGCCTCTCGCCTCACCGCCACTGCCCCTCTGACTGCTTCTCACCTCGTCGTCGTCGAAGGCCAGGTCTGTCTCCTCGAGCCCTCCTCCTTTCACGCGCAGTGCGATGCAGCCGACGATGAGTGGCATCAACGGCGCGCTTTGCAGGCCCGCATGAGTGCATCAGAATATGATGAGTCCGGTCGTTACAAGGATGAAGTTTGCCAGTGTAAGATTGAGCGCAAAGCTGCCCGAAGAGCTCGTCTGTGGACGCCATGGTCCCGCCAGCTCCGCTTAGAAGGTGTGCGCGTGCACGTGCGTGATGACAGTGGTGAGAGAGTTGCCGTTGTTATGAATGATCCGGAGGTTTTCAATGCCTTGCAAGCTCATTGGCAACCCGCCTTGCTGCTCGCGAATCGTGCGATGCGGACATCCTCGGATTTCTGCATTATGTCTCCCCGCCCGCCCCTACCTCCGACGCTCCCATGCCCAGCGTGGAAGCACTGGCGTCGGCGCTGCAGCGTGCGAAGCCAAGTGCTCCTGATCCCGATCGTCTTCCCTACTCTGACTGACACTCCCACTCTACCGCCGCGTCTACCCTGCATCGCGTTCTCGCGCATATCTACTCAGGCGGCACTTTGCCGTGCGAAGCTAATCACTCACTGTTTGCTTTTGTCCCGAACGGGGAGGGCGAGCTGGGCGCGGTTCGGATAACTCGGAGGAGCCAGGACCTTCGCCCGTTGAGTCTCAAAAACAGTAATGCCAAAGCGATTCGCTCAGCAGTCAATTGCACGTTGAAGCCACTTGTTGAGCAGCGAGAGCATCAGAGTCAGCAGGGGCATATTACTGGTCGTACCTTCGTTGACAAGATGCCCTTGCTAGACGCGGAGGCGAGGCGTGCTGGCTGGCTCGAGGGCGGCTCGAGCAAACGCCCGCTCCTCGTTTCTTTTGGTTTTGAGGCAGCGTTTCCTAGCTTGAACCGCCGCTGGCTGGAGCTCACTTTAGCCCACTATGGCGTGCCGCTCGGTGTCCTGCGGGCCATAGAGGCGCTCTACAATGCTCCGGTCGCCTTCGAGGTTCGGGGACATGCCGCTCGCGCCCATGTGCGAGCTCGCCAGCGGCGCGCTGCAGGGCTGCCCCCTGTCTGGCAGTCTATGGGCACCGTGCGTGGATCCGCTGCTTCGCATCTGCAGCTGCCTTTTCCTACGCTCGACCATGGTGCGGTGCGCGCGTGCGCAGACGACGTCGGCTTGATTCTACTGCGTGTATCGCAGCTCATTATGATCGCGGAGACTTGCAGCTTCGCTGAAAAGCTCGCTGGCCTTGCACTTCGGCCTGCCAAATGTGTAGCTGCCCCGCTGTGGGCTCCGTTTTCGCCAGAGGTGCAGAGCCAAACCCGCCGTGATCTCGAGGGGGCCTGTGACGGGCGGGGCGCGTTTCAGGTGTCGGACGCGGCGAAATACCTCAGGGTTTGGCTCGGCCCAAGAGCGACCGCAGACTTGCAGTGGAAGGCTTCGTCTGAGAAGTGGTGGAAGCGCATTCATCTCGCCAGCCTCACTCGTGCTCCTCCCTCTGCTCTCACGCTTGCTGCGCGCTTCTGCGATCCTTCCCACCTTGAGCTATGTCTCCCAACTGTTCCTGCCCATCCCGAGGCTGCTGCAGAGAGAGAGAGAGAGAGAGAGAGAGAGAGAGACGCATGGATTGCATAAGTGGTGCAGGCCCCCGCCGAATGCCATGAAACGCTATGACCCCTTATCCTTGAAGGCGTGGTGCCGAGGAGGAGGGCCCACTGCCATCTTGCCACTTTCTCTTGCATCCATGTGGCGAACATGCGCGACTACTTTGTCGGGTTGGCGGGAGCAGTTCATCAGTTTGCGAGAAGATGCAGATAATTATGCCCCGCTTCCATCGTTTGCCGCGCAGCACTGGTCGCCTGCTTGGCGGCGCGTGCAACAGGCAATCGTGCATCGGTTCGACGACAGCTGTTTGTGCAAGCGGATATGTTTTCCAGGTCTTGCACTGTTTCTGCGAGCGTGCTGCACACTGCTGCACGCATGGGGCGGGCGGAGGTCGCGCGGGCGGAGGCGGAGAGGGGGCGGGAGACCCAAGGTGCAGCGTGTTGTTTGTGTTGCTCTTACTCAGCAAATGTATCCCGAGAAATTTGTTAACGCGATTCGCAAACGCTTGAGGAAATGGTACCCCGACCTTGCTATTCCTCCTGACCTCTCCCCTCGTTGGCTCTTTCCCCGATCGTATACCAGCACATGCAACCCCGCGGTGCGCTGATGTGTCCTGAAAACTCTTAGTGGGGCGTGGACCACTAGTGATCGAATGCATGTCGTCCCAGGTTATCTTGCTTGCCTGCTGGGGTGTCCGACCTGTGTAGACTGTGTGCAGCACTACCTAATGTGTAACAAGGTTCTCGAGCTTGTGGCTGACCCGCAGGTGCCGATGAGTTCGGAAGTGTTAGTTCGATTGGGCTTGGGCGGCGAAGAGGGGCACGCGGGTCAGTTCACACTCGCTCGTGTCGTTCGCTCTCTCTCCCTTGCCTTCTGCATATATCACGCCACGAAGGGAGAGATCGGCGTACCCCCTCACGATTTTACTTCCGTCCCAGTTGCCGCGCGATTTCGAGCAGTCGCCAGTCAGCGATTGCGTATCGGGTGAGTAACTGGGACTCTCTCAGGGGACGTTCACTCCTCCTCCTCCTCCTCCTCCTCCTCCTCCTCCTCCTCTTCCTCCTCATCATTATTTCCCTCATACGCCTCCCGCCTCCCTCCCATCTGGCTTCCAAGTATGGTCGAGCCAAGTGTTTTCGGGCTCCTGTCCGCTTTGTCAGGGCATCATCAACGCTGCACAGCAGGCTGGCTGTTGGCTTTTAATTGCTGGCGCCCGTTTCATTGTGAGCCCATCTCCCGGTCGCAAAGCCCCAAAGTCCCTCCTCCCCCAGAAGAGAAGCTGAACATGAACTTCCCGGACTACGAGTTCCTCCGCCCGGAGAGGCAGTGGGCGGATGTCGCAAGGCGGGTTGGAGGGAACAGTGGCCGCCGACCTCCGCGGATCGGCTCCTGAACGGGGGGATCCAAATAGTCACAGATCACTGATGTCTTTCAGTCGAAGAAAATCATCCCCGCCGCCCTGGCAGCGCAAAGGCGGCCGGGAACGGGTGTCTTTTCCGCTTGGTCTGGGTCAGGGGCTGCGGCCCGCGGGTTGGAGGGAGTTGAACGCCTCTTGTCGACCGGCATAAAAAAACAGGAGGTCCGCGCGGATTTCTTGGATCGGCGCTGGCGCCCCCTGGCGGCGTCTCCGGGGCCGCCCCTGGCGCGCTCCGCTCGCCAGGGAAGGGAACCCAGCGCCGATCCAAGAAATCGTCGCGGACCTCTGAAATCGCGCCCTCGCCTTCTTGAGGCGTCGTCAGCCCAAGACGGCCCGAAGGCGCCCCAGTATCGCTCCAAGACGGCCCCAGAGGCCCCAGGATGGCACCAAGAGGGCCCCCAAGACGGACCAAGGGAGCGGGGGTGAGCTGGTGGGTGCCCCAGAGAGAGCTTCAGTTGGCACTGGCCAGCGTGCAGACCCCCGCCCGCTTCGGCACACCTCTCACGCGTGTCGAGCCCCACCACGGCCCTGGTGGGCGCATCCGCATGCAATGTTTTTCCACATGTTGCACGCCTCTCGCACGTTTCGTGCCCCTTAGGGAGCTGCACCTACGGCCCCAGTGGGCAAGTCCACATGCCGCCCCCCGCCCGTTTCAGTTCGCCCCTCACGCACTTTGTGCCTCAAAGAGGTTTTAACAGACGGCCCCACAGACGGCCCCATTTGGCAGTGGCCGCGTGCCGCACCCAGCCAATGTCGGCGCACCCCTCACGCGGATCGCGCCTCTTCTCCATTTACGGCCCCAGGTGGAAATGGTCGCGTGCCGTTCCCGCTCATTTTGGCACACCCCTCGCAAGCTCCGTGCCCCACAGGGAGCTCCTCCTGCGGCCCCAGTCGGCACTGGCCGCATGCCGCCCCCCACCCACTTCGGCGCACCTCTCCGATGTTTCGTGCATGTGCCTCCACCTGCGCCCCCAGTGGGCCCCTTTCTAACTCTGGCATGCCCCTTAAACGTTCGGTGCGCCACATGAAGTTCCACCCACTGCCCCAGAGGGTACGTCCGCATGCCGCCCCCTGCCTGTTTCAGCCCCCCCCGCGATTCTTGCCCCAGAGAAGCTCCACCTACGGCTCCCGTGGGTGTGTCCGCATGCCGCCCCCTGCCTGTTTCAGCCCCCCCCCGCGATTCTTGCCCCAGAGAAGCTCCACCTACGGCTCCAGTGGGTGTGTCCGCATGCCGTCCCCGTTCTTGCAGGCACAGACTTCACAGCGATGGAGCCCAGCATGGAGTCACACGCGTGGCTTCAGTGGGCAAATCCGCATACCGCCCACAGCCCTCTCGGACACACCGTTCACACGCATAGTGCCCCACAGGGAGCTCAGCGCGTTCTTGCGCGGCTGCTCTGCAGCCGTGAACTCCACCCCGCCCGCGGCGCGCAGCAGTATATGAAGGCAGGGTTTTGCCCTGCACTACACATGCCTTCCTAGGTTTAGGTCTTCCTCCAGGCAAACTTCTGGCCAGACAGATCTGGTGGGAGGCCCTCGGTCATAAGGTGTGTGTGTGTGTGGCGCGTGTGTGTGTGTGTGGCATTTTGCCATCCGTCCTCGTCTCGTCTGTAGCCACCGCCTGGCGACGTGGTCGGTCCTGCACACCTAGTTTCGGGCACGTCTGCGCTGTGCCAGGATGGCAATGTGGTGCCCCCCTGTTGAGCCGGCCCTCGCGCGCACCCGCTTAGGTTACGGCCGCGCGCGCATTGGCTCAGGCTTCGGCCGCCGTACTGAATTCGCTCCGCCTCGTCGCCGCGCGCGAGGCCGCGACCGCCAACAGCGTGTGTGAAGCGTGTGTGTGTGTGTGTGTGTGTGTGTGGCTGTGTGTGTGTATGTGTGTGTGTCTCGCCGCTTTACCCCTCCGCGCTGGTCTCTCTCCTCTCGGATCGTCCCTAGCCCCGACTACTCCTCGCGGCAGCTCTCCCGTCCGCGCTGTCTCCCGCTCCTGGGGAGGTAGCCGGGGTTGGTCTTTACCCTTTGGGATGGATCCGCACTGCCCCTGCTGTTTCGTTCTGCCTCAAGTGCGACCGTCGCCTTACCCCTCCTTGATTGTGCGCTGCCTTTCCGCCGTGCTGTCTCACTCCTGAGCCCCCTGGTCCGCCCGGGCTTCCACACGCTGCCTCAGTTCTCTTTCCTGGTCGGCTGCCCTTCCTGCTGCGCCTCGCTTGACGCTTCGGCTTGTCACTGTCGCACTGATTATCCATACCTTCATTTCCCCCTCTTTTCCCTCTTTCCTTTGCCACTTCCCCTCGCGACTGCCCCCTCGCGAGTGTTGCTATTGATTGCGCACTCCTCGTGGTGAAGATTCTCAACGCCTGAGGCCTCCTCCCGCTTTCCTCCTCCGCGCCCGCTATCTTCTTCCTCTTGTCTTCCTTGTTTGCCCGTAGCCCCGGCGCGGCCCGCCGGCTACCCGAACACGTTGTGCGCTCGCCCTCGCCGCTGTCAAAATTTACATATTGCTGTTGATCCACTGTGGGTGGATCCAGCTCCTCTGCCTGAGCTGGGCCGGCCCGCGCGCGTATGCTTGACTTGACCTTCGCCGCGCCGCGGCGCGCGTGGCCGCGACGCCGAACATGCGTGGCGTGTGTGTGTGTGGTGGTGGTGGTGGCGGTGGCGGTGTGCGGGGGGTGGGGGCAAAATTGCCCACGAGGGGCGACGTCACTAACCAGAACCAGTCGAAGTCTACCGTCACGTACGACCTTCTGGCCGACATCTTCGCGGCGGTGCGGAGCGAGGTTTTCATCGGAACGGCAAGCAACTTGTTCTGGCTGGTTTACGCGTTGAAGCAGACCAAGGTCCTGGGCAAAAGTCTACCACATCCAATGCCGGCCCCATGTCACCCCTCCCCTAATGTCATTGTCCTTCGGATGGGTCGAGGACAACGAGACGAGAACACGAATGACGATGAGGCGGAGGAGGAGGATCATGGTGATGGTGATGTTGATGGTGATGGTGATGGTGATGGTGATGGTGACGGTGGTGATGATGATGACGAGGAGGAGGAGGCAGGATATAGATGAAGGAGGGCGAGATATGAGGGGGGAGGGAGAAGAGAGGAAGCCGGAGGGATGAGGGAAGACAACACGGAGCAGGATTGGTCGGATGGGGATGAGAAGTAGGAAACGCGAAGAGGAGGGATAAGGAAGGAGGAGTGGAGGAAGCGACGGATGACGAGAGGGAGGGGGGAGGAGGGAATGGTGGATGAAGAGAATGGGGGATGGAGTGAGCTGCAGGAGGGCGTGGAGAAGCAACAGTAAAGAGAGGGGAGGGAGAGTGGGAAACGATGGACGGGCAAGGGGGGCAGGAATAGGCTGAGGCGGGGAGGAGGGGAAGGTGCGTGACGGGGGGCATCAGAAGGCTCAGTTTTGTGTGTCCCTCACAAGCAGGTGGATCCTGGGATCAGCTGCTGGATCAACACCGTGGAGGCGTCCCCAGAGTTCAAAAGACTCTTTTGCCCAGGGGACCCTGGCTTCTACACCTACTCGCCGGCCGGCCTACGGCCCAACATGGAGGAGGAGTACGTGTCGCTATTGCGAGACGGGCTCGACCGGAAATCAGCTTGGTGGAAAGCGCTGGAGAACCACCACAAGCGGACCAGGATTCCTCCCATGGCGCTGAACAAATCTGGAAAGGCAACCATCGCTGGGCATTCCGCAGTCCATTAGGTCAGAACTCTTGAGATCTAGAGGGGAGGGCTTAGCTGCCGTGCTCCAGCCGCGAAGCATGGAGTCAGGTAAGATAAACGGGTCTCATGGTTAGATCCGGCCAGCGGCAGACTCTTGTCAAACAGAACGCGATCAAACGTTTGGTGTTGAATTCAATCTTGGTTATGCAGATCAGCCCAGCCAGCAAACGTCGCCCTTCGGGTGGAGCACGCGGGAGTTTCGCAATAGCAGGGGCCCGCCATAGACCCCACACGGACATGACCACGCGAAGATCCAGTTCCTCCAAATTCTTGGGGAATCCGAGTCAGGCGTAGCATTCTTATGGTTGTTGGTTCTTCATTCGCCCTGTCAATTTCTTATACGTACACCTATTTCCTCACGGAGCCTTAGCGTCAGAGTCCGTCCTTCTCCTCCTCCGAATCCTGGTGTATCCTATGTTTCCTCCTTTTTGGTTCGGTCAACTGGTCAGCTTTAGTGTTTCGTGGTTGCCTCCCCAATCGCTTCTCTCCCTTCTCATACTCATCTCTCTCTCTATCCCCCCTTGCATTCCCTGCTCTGCCTGCTCCTCTTTGCCTCATTCCCCTCACTCTCGTCCTCCCTTTAGCTGCTTCTGCCGCCGCGCGCGGTCCTGGCCTGATTTAGTGGTGCGCATCCAGCTCCCTTGGCTCCTATTTTTCCTGCTCCTTCTCCCCCCTGGTGCAGCTGTTGCTTGGGACACCCGTGCAGCCGCCTTCATGAGTACCCACAGCCACTGCGTGCTGCCATCTGACCAGCGGAAGGTTGCCGTCGTCTGCCATGCCGCGCTCCGGTGTGCGCACTCTCGCCCGAGGACACGTCTTTTCGTGGTGGTTGTCGACTTCGAATACGACGACGGCACCATGCTCAGCGATCACGATCTCGCCTGGTTATCGCTCCACGAGGCGTGCCGTGATCAGGTTGTCTCTCGTTTCTGGGTCAATATACGGGGGATTTGCTGCTCCTGGGACTGGGCCACTCTGCCTGCTTTTCTCAATGTCAACGGGCCACCCCCCTGGACAAGCTCTACGTGTCCTTGGCGGCACACGCTATCATCTCGGAGATTTGGAGAAACGTTGACGTTTGACCAAACAAAGTTGGCTGACTGGCGCCTCAGCAACCGCGGCATCATCCAACTACAGTGGGGAATCCAAGGCACGCTTCGCCCAGACGATCTGGCAAAACCTGGAGTGGATCTTTCGTCGACCGCTGTAAGCGGAGTACTTCGACGCGCACCAGGCGGCCATTTACTACCACGACGGCGACGCCTTGCAGCAATGACGCGCCACCAAGGCGAATGTCAAGCCAGCGGCAATACTGACCCGCGACCTACTTCTCCGCGAACCCGGCTGGCTACTCGTTAGCGTATCCGATCGCCGAATTTTTGGTGTTATGTTCTTCTACGCGCGCTCATTGGCAGAAAGAGTTTGTGTACGTTTGACTCGCTCGTGCTGCTCCGACTGCTGGCCCAAACTCCCAGGTCTCAGAGAACGACGCCATCATACTCGACCCTCACGCCTTCGCGACTCGAGCGCGCCAGGCGTCCACATCTTTGCTCGAGGGTCAACGGGCCGACTCCCGCCAGCGCGCCGCCGCTGCTCATCAAAGTGGCGCCCATGACGCGGGCGGTTACTGGAAGGGCCGCGCCTGGAGGACACGGCAACCAGCAGAATCAGCTCGGTCGGTCTGTCCATGGCACGCAGATGTTGGTGGGAATATTGGAGCCGTCACCTCCAGCCGCGGCATCAACGTCGCCATCAGCTACCCTCGCGATTATCAAGGACCCACTTAGAATGGCGGCTGCCCCTCGCGGCCATTGGGAACCGATGTTCGGTTCTATGGAAGTTTCGAGTGCTGAGGTCCGCGATTGCATTCAGCTTCACTTGTCCAGCTTGCCAGATCTTCGACTTCCATTGCCAGAAGTGAGTGACACTGAAGCAACTGAACGTCGCGCGCGACCCACGGTCCCTGACCATGATAGATCCAGTGGTCTGGCTGAGGTCGAGTACGAGGGGCCTTGCCCATCTTATTCACTATGGTGGTCCTGACGTGAGAGAACGCACCCCCTGCGTCAACCATCTTACTCATCATTATGGTGGCGCTGATGTGAGGGAGCGTACCCCCGGTTTCAACCGCGAAGGGCTTCAGCTCGGCTCGAAAGGTGACGCGACACCCTCAGCAGCGGAGTCGCGAGCCAGGTAACACCCGACCATTGGCAGTCTGGGGCAGCGAGGCCAAGCTGCTAGCCTCCACGGCGAACATCGATTGGCCTCCCCGTCATGTGTTGCCTCTGTCAGGTTTTGATGGGGGTCGCTCAAGGTTGTACTATTTCGGGCACGATCTATGCCTTCTCCACCGCCCCACTCATCAAATCAATGTCCGGGACGGTGGGCCTGTTCTCACCATCCCTTTTAGCTCGTCCGTCACGCGAGAACAATGTTGATCGAGCTTGGCCGCGATGCCGAGCTCGGAGCTTGCGCTGATGATCTCGGTGCGTCGCTCTAGGAGTTGGCCCTGACCCCGCACATTGGGGCAAAGGGACGGTTGGCATGTTTTTCCTTCAGCCGAATAAGTGCGTGCTGGTCCCGTTGTCGTTCTTATCGGACCAGCTCGTTCCTGCCCGTGACCAGATTCGAAGTGTTCTTCGCGAATGGACCCCCGACTGGACAGATGCCGTGGTCGATCCCGCGACGAAATCTACGGGGTTTCTCATGGGACCTGACACGGCCCTGCATGGCTTCTGGCCCGCGGCCTCAAACAAGTAGCGTTCCTGGGTGGCCATCCTTAAGGCTATTTTCATGATTACCTTGAAGTGATGGAGCCCTACAGCTCTGCGGCCATTACGGCGTTGCGTTATTTTTTCAATTCTTCCCGCGTCATGGACCCGCTGTTCAAGGCGGAGGCAGAAGTCCTTCAGCCATGTCGCATTCCATGGTGTAATGTCTCATTGCCGTCGACACGTCGCGATAGTGGCCGATCATTGGCACCCTTCCAGTACCGCACAATTGGCGGCAGCGACTCCGTCACCACGATCGGCGGATCCGATCGGCAGTCGAACAATCACGATTGCGCGGCCGCCGCCCTTCCAGTACCACAGGATCGGCGGCAGCGATCCGAGACTTGTCCAGCAGGGCAACGCGCCGAACGACCTGCGTTTGTGCATCGGCATTTCGCCAGTATCGCTCACCGATTGCAGCCAATTTATACGGAGCGGAGCGCCTTGTTGGCCCCGTCTGCGACTGGATGCATCAGGATCCCCACAGGAAAAACCAAAGGGAGGACCTGAGGAACCCCGAGCCCCTTCCTCCAGGCCTCCCAAGCAGGGTCCGAGCAGGTGGGGTCGGAGTGACGCGCCGCATGGCCGATGCATCAGCGATGTGGCTCGATGTGGGGCCCATTTTCTTGTTCCACGCCGACGGCGCCGACGCATCGCCGATGCGGCGCGATCTGCTGACCCCATCCATTCGGACCCCAGTTGGAGACCTCCGCTTCCGAGACGAGAGCGGTCCTTGCTCTGAGGCTTTGGCTGTAGCCCCGGTCTTTCGCCGAGAGTGCGCGCCATCCCAAGGACGAGCCCAGCGAGGGCGTCGCGTGCCGCCATGGGCGAGGCTGCGGGGGCGTGCATGGCCAAGGCCTTGCGCGCCACCGCTGGCTTGGACAGGGCCAGGGCCATCGTTGTCTGGTGCGCCATAGGGTGCGGCTGGACACGGACCCCATGCACCGCGAATTCAGGGCGGAAGCGGCAGCGGCGGCAACGGCGCCGTGCGTGGCGACGGCAGCGGCGCGTTCCTTGAGTCCAGACTTCAAGCACATGTAACCAGCGGGTTTGTTCATCGCGCTTGTGTTGCTGGCCATGCGAGCGACGGCTTAAGAGTGCCATCGCTCGTCGGCGCGGCTGGGCCATCTGTCGCTCGTCCGGACAATGTTCGTCGCAGACTTCGCGTTGGTTGCGCTGGGTGGGGTGCGCGCCGGGGTGCTCGCGGGATCGTGCAGACAGTTGACGCGGCTACACGTCGCGCGGTTGGCCGCTGTGACTCCTGTAAGTCCCCCTCCTCTTCCCATTCCCCTTCCCTCTCCCGCTTCCCCTCCGCCTCCTCCTCCTCCTCCTCCTCCTCCCCGCTCTTCCTCTAGATTGTCACCTTGCCCTGGAAGTATTCGCGCCAACTCCCAGGGCCTCTGGGGGACCAGGGCCCATCCGCCAGATCCGACGAAGAGTCGAGGTCCCTCCAGAACCTTTGAAGGATAGGAGGAGGGTGGTAGGGGATGGTGTGGGGCTAGGAGGGGGCAGGGGGGGAGGACGAGGAGGACGAGGAGGAGGAGGAGGCGGCAGGAGGCGCCGAGGCGGAGGAAGCCGAGGTGCAGGAAGACGATTATGACAATGGGGATGGCGAAAGACGCACCCCTGAAGGAAAAAACGCGTGAGCTGCTCGACCTTCTGCCAGCCCCGTCACACTGCGGGGAGTGGGGGGTGGGCGCCGCCTGTCTGGGCAATGTCTCGGGAGGCGATCCCTCTCCTTCAACTTCTTTGCTTCGAGGTAAAGCGCTTCGATGATGTGTCGTTGTGTCGTCGTTGCAGACATGCCGGACACGCGCAGGTCCAATCCTACCTCACTTATGGTGAGTATGTGTGCCGTTCCGTGGCCGTCAAGCGGTCTGGAGAATTCGTAATCGAGTGGTTCGGCGCATGGAATTCCAGGTAAGATTGAAAGGGGCGTTTGGCGTTCTCAAATATTCGTTTAACCAAGAGGTACCTCTTGGAACCGCCCCAGCCTCTGAGGGATGTGGGGCATCTCAACACACAAGGGCTGGAGGACGTACCGCTAAATCCTCCCCATCAGATTTCCTATCTCTGGCACGGACCTAGTTTGGCGTGATCTTGTACATGTTGGGCGGGCAGGGTAGGGAATGCATCTGGGCGTGGAGAGTTCTCCGCGGCCCTTCCTGTCGTGGGCCTCTTTGTGCTTCAGCGGCTGGCGAGCCCTGGA